TCATCATGATTATCGTCCTCCTCATCATCATCACCAGCATCATCATCACCATCACCATCATCATCATCACCAACGTCATCATGATTATCGTCCTCATCACGATCATCATCAGCAGCATCAGCATCATCATCATAATCATCATCATCGTATTCATCATCCTTGCCACCATCACCATCATCATCACCATCATCATCATCGTCATCATCGTATTCGTCATCGTTGCCACCATCATCATCATCAGCAGCAGCATCAGCATCATCATCATAATCATCATCATCATCATCACATCATCGTATTCATCATCCTTGCCACCATCACAATCATCACGATCATCATCATCATCATCATCATCGTACTCGTCATCCTTGCCACCATCACCATCATCATCATAATCATCATCGTCATCATCGTATTCGTCATCGTTGCCACCATCATCATCATCAGCAGCATCAGCATCAGCATCATAATCATCATCATCATCATCGTATTCATCATCCTTGCCACCATCACCATCATCATCACCATCACCATCATCGTCATCATCGTATTCGTCATCGTTGCCACCATCATCATCATCAGCAGCAGCATCAGCATCATCATCATAATCATCATCATCATCACATCATCGTATTCATCATCCTTGCCACCATCACAATCATCACGATCATCATCATCATCATCGTACTCGTCATCCTTGCCACCATCACCATCATCATCATCACCACCATCATCATCATCAGCAGCTTCAGCATCATCATCATAATCATCATCATCATCATCACCATCATCATCATCACATCATCATCATCAGTCTTAATTTCCAAGTGGCAGCTCCAGAAAACAGGGGGTTCTAGTAAAGACACCTAAAAACCTCAAATCTGGGCAGGCGCAACCTAAATCCTAAACCCGATTTCCCCGCTCATACCCCAAATTTGGGCAGGCACGCCCCGAAGCTGATCAAAATGGCTTCTGACCCCAAGCTTCAGGAGCCACGGTTTAGGTTTAGGGTTTAGGGTTTAGGGTTTAGGGCTTTGGGGGTGGAGCCTCCCGACTTTGAGCACGGGGTGCGCGAGTGGAGTTGAGTTTGTTGTTAAATGTTATAAGGATCGCAGTTTTCTTCGGGTTTGGGGCCCGTTTGGTTGCACAAGAATAAACCCTAAATTTAAACCATAAACCCTTAAACCCTTAAACCCTAAAACCCTTAAGCCCTTAAGCCCTAAACCCTAAATCCTAAACCCGTAAACCCTTAAACCCTTAAACCCTAAACCCTTTGAGTTCTGAGCCCTTGGTAGTCCAGATTGGTCGACCCTCGAGACCAGATTTCCTCCAAACCCGTAAGGCTTAAACTTGGAAGCTAAGCAAGCAGCCCCTCAGGGATCAAAGGGTTTAGGGTTTAGGGTTTAGGATTTATGGGTTTCGGGTTTAGGGTTTAGGATTTATGGGTTTAGGGTTTAGTAGGGTTTAGTGTACCAAAAAATATAATCGGGGTTTCCGCTCGTCGGCTCAGAACAGCAGACACGCCGCAAATCCCTCAAGCCGGAACCCTTGGAATCCAAAACCCTGAACCCTACGTCCAACCCAAAACCCAAACCCTAAGCCCGGAGTCCAAAGCCCCGAACCTCACAGCCGGTGGAAGAAATAACCCTACACCCTGATTACCCTAAAGCCCACTACAGGGGCCGAAATTATTCCCACCATTCTTTTGGGTTTGGGCGTTCCTTGATCTGGTTATAGTGTAAATATACCCCAAGATCCTATTCGAATTATTAAGGCCCCTACATTAACCCAGATCCTCAACCTCGAAAGCGCGACAGCAGGATCAAGAGCTGAAAGTAGCGGCCATCACTGCTCTTGGCCAGGCAGGGGAAGGGGGCCGTCCTTTTGAAGCCTTATATTGGTACTTCTCTAAAGTAGTCCTTTTTGTAAGGGTGCCGTACTATATTGGGGACCTAAAAATAAAAAGGGACCCTAATTTAGAGAACCACCTATATAGGGGCCTCAAGAATTACCTATAAGGCAGGTAGGCGTAAGTCCTTCACATAAGGACTCTTAAGCATGGGAATAATATATAGGGCCTTAATGAGTAGAATAGGGTTTTGGGGCCCATTACACCGTAACTAAATAAGGAGGGTTAGGTTTAGGATTACCATCCATACCCAAAGGCTCCATAGTAGTTCCTTTTTGGGACTACCTTATGGGATCCTAAATCTAAACCACAAAAAGGAACTACTACGGAGCCTATGGGTTACCACCCACCCTAAACCCTAAACCCTACACCCTAAACCCTAAACTCCTGAAACCCTAAACCCTAAACTCCAAACTCCCTAAACCCTAAACCCCATAAGCTGAAAGGTAGGTGGCGACCTGACGCAAGTCCCTACGGTGGCGGCTCTGCTGACTGACGCCTCGGTGCAAGTCCAAGGCCGGGTTTTGGTTTAGGGTTCAGGGTTTAGGGTTTAGGGTTTAGGGTTTATGGCTTTACACCCCTAGCAAACCCACCCTAAACTCTAGACCCTGCAGCCCAGGGGTTTTAGTGTCCCAGATCCTCCAAAAGCCCTTAGTTAAGGAATGTACCTTAAGATATAATGGGAACCCTAATATGGTTTAATTTATAATTCCTTACTTAAAAGGCTTTGGAGTCTCTGGGGTCATTCTTGTAAACTCTAGACCCTAAACCGTGACGCGGCGTTCCACATGGCTGGGGGTTTCGGATTTAGACTCTCGTGCAAACCTGAGGTCTCTGTGTTCTCGGATTTAGGGTTTAGGGTTTAGGCTTTAGGGTTGAGGGTTTAGGGTATTCTTGCCTGAGAGTCGATGATAGAAGGTTTGAGATAAAGGGTTTAGGGGTTCAGGAGATTTTTGTTTAGGGTTTGGGGCTTCTGAAAACCATGCACCTTCGGCTTTAAGCTTGAGTTGAGAGAGCCTAAAGGCATCGTTATGTTGCGTTTCTTGAAGACAGACAGGTATGTGGCTTACGAGCACTAAGCTCTACAGCCCAGCCCCAAGCCCCAGGCTAAAAGGGTTTAGGGTTTAGGGTTCGTACACCATTCACATTGGTGTGGTAGCCCTCAACCCTGAACCCTAAACCAGTAGCGTGGATCTCGTGCGGGGGAAGGCACGGACAGTGTTCGCCTCCTGCCATGCGGACTTCTCATGAAGACCTTACCCGAAATCTACCCAAAACCCCAAAGCCCAAAGCCTCAAGTCTCAGACCTAAACTCTAGGGGTTAGGGTCTGGGGTTTAGGGTTTAGGGTTGAGGGTTTAGGGTACTTGGACCTTCAACTCTAAAGCCTAAGCCCCCCCATGAGAGCCGAAAGTGCGAAGTCCATGGGCTCGGGGCGTTCCGCGAGCTTTTAAACTCCCCGGGTCGAGTGCCGCTGTAGCTGTGCATGCGACGGTCTAGGTTTTTAGATTTCGGGTTCAGGGCTTAGGATTTTGTTTTAGATGTCGGGTTCAGGATTTAGGGTTTCTTTTTAAGGTTTCGGGTTCAGGGTTTAGGGTCTAGGGTAGGGTTTTTTTTATGATATAGGTTTGAGGGTGCAGGGTTCAGGGTTTGGGGTTTAGGGTGTAGGGTTTAGGGTTTAGGGTTCAGGGGTTTAAGGTCTAGGGTTTGGGATATTTAGAGTCTAGGGTCCCATGCAGCAAATCCCCGTTGCTTGATTCGCCGCACTCTTAAACCCCATCCTGAGACCTAAACCATTACTATGGGGGCCTGAATAAGAATAATGATAATAATAACACTAATAATCGCTATAATAATAGTAGTAATGATACTCCTCAAAAGTCCCTGTTCGAATCATAGAAAAGGGTTCCCAACAACTCTATTATTTTTATTCTGTTTCTTTATATACACCACATGATCCCACACCCTAAGGCCGTAACACATACCGGACAGGCGCTGCCTGCCTGACCTTGACAAGCTACCAACCTGCATCGGCGTGTGAGAAGTGCTTGCAGAGGTTTAGGGTGTAGGATCCAGAAGGCTTACCATTCCTACAAGCATATTGCTTTCAGTATTACTATTACTATTACTTTTACTACTACTGTTACCATTAATTACTATTTCTATTGCCTTTCCTATTGCTATTACTATTACCATGAGTGCTACTGTTGCTATTGCTGTGTGCAGAGCTGCTGGCCGAGTTGGGAAGCTCTGCAGTAGACGATTTGTTCTTTCACGTCGGACTGGGGGTTCAAGCCTCATCATCGACCTCGTCGTTTTCCTCATGTTTAGGCCAGGTTACCACTTTGAGGTTTAGGGCTTCGGGCTTCGGGTGCAGCACAATTCAGACATGTTGATTACATGTTCGTTGCTACGATTGTCGGCGTCGAGGCGCAGCTGAAGTGGAGCCGTCCATCACATCGACGGTCATCGTCAACATAATCCACAGCACAATCATCATCACCACCATTATGATCGTCACTGAATTCTAAATCTTTTCATGTCACATATCCTGTATTGCCAACTGCAACACGTATGTGACCGTACTGCGACAGGTGGATTGTGACTCGGGGCTTTAGCAGATGGGCAGGAGCTGCTGTTTCATGGAGATGTGTGCGCATCGTTCTAGCGTTACAACCTGCCAGCTCTGCAAAACACTGATGATTCGATGCAAGGTTTGGGACCCTTCGCAGAAGAGCATGCCTCCACCATCGCCGCCAAACTCGAGCAGGACATCAGTGCACGGTGGTCCACTTTCCTTTGTGTAGCTGACGCAGAACTCATGAAGGGGCCATGGCAACATGCTGCCAACTTGTGCCAGACAGCCGCAACCACAAAAACCCTAAAACCCTAAACCCTAAACCCCTTACACCTAAACCCCCTGCAGGATGGGACTCGCCTCGCCGCAGCGCAGGCCCTGGAACGCCTGCCCGGCGGAGTGCTGCAGCCCTACTTGAAGGACCTGGTGTCCAAGGCGAGTTGTCATGAATGAACAACCTACATGTGCATGTCAATGCGTACGTGTATGCAGTTGCATATGTGCAAACACAGTGAGAGAGTTTGCGTGCTACGCACATACTTTGTGTGTGTATGCAAGTAGATGTGGGCGCCGCGGGCGATAGGGTTGGTGAGGGGTATGCTTTTGGGTTTAGGTGAAGCAATTTTCAGGGTCCAAGGCTACGCAGGCATACAGGGTTTTTATCTGCACTCCTTAGCTGAAAAGCGATGGGCTAATTCAAACCTGTATGCGCTGCATCTTGAACAGGAACAACGTGTCCCAGATGCCGACTGCAAGTGTCCTCATATATATATATACACTTGTATGTCATATGTTTGGATGTTTATGTGTACGTAGGTATGTATTTATGTACGTATGAATGTATGAATGTATGAATGAATGAAATGAATGAATGAATGAATGAATGAATGAAAATGTATGTATGTATGTATGTATGTATGTATGTATGTATGTATGCCTATCTGTCTATCTGTCTGTCTGTCTGTCTGTCTGTCTGTCTGTACAAAAAACAAATGCGCAGACAAAGATCTATAAATATACATACAAAAAGAATAAATTTGTATATATATATATACATATATATATATAGAAGCACACATACACACGTAGATATATCCGTGTTTGCATACATCAGTCTGTAGATACATGTATATGTACACAGCATAGGCGACAAAAGCCATCGCCATAAAGAAGTGCAATATCCATAGCTTTGCAGCGAACATAGAGATATGCAGAGAGATACAGACATGCTGCAGATGTAAAGGCCTGTAAGTAGATCTTGCTGCGAGGCCTACTGGTTCCTCTTCCCCTTCCCCAACAGACAAGTCGAAACGGACGGCTTGAAGGGTTACTTACGCGCTTGTACATAAAGACGTCCCCTACATGGCATTCTGTTCTGTTCTGTTCCCTCGCATTGCATCGAGTTGCAGTAGTGTGTTGCATCGTGTTGCATTGCGCTGCATTGCACTGCGTTGCACGGTATTGCAGTGCATTGCATTGCATCATACCAACGGCACAGTGCCCACCACATTATGTCGCGGTGTAAAAACGTATGTAGATATGTAGATAGTGATGTACATACCGTTGTACCTATGCAAATAGCTTTGTGCCACTATGTAAGTAAAACAGAACATGAGCAAGTAGGGGGTGTGCGTACGTGTGTAGGTTGGTAGGGAGGTAAGGAGGGAGCGAGGCGTGTGTAGGTGGGCAGGTTATATGCACTGTATGCAATGTATGCATGTGTGGAAGTTTGGTTGGGTTTTTGCATGCAAGTAGGCAGATGCAGACTCATGCCTTCACAGGCACATACCCAACCTGAAATGCATCTGAGTGCATTTGTTGTGCGGTACGTTCACATGTGTATGTACGTATGTACGTATGTACGTATGTATGTATGTATGTATGTATGTTTGCATATATTATGCGCATGTTTACCCATGTATGAATACACACATACCTACCTACCTACCTACCTACCTACCTACCTACCTACCTACCTACCCACCTACCTACTTGCCTACCTAACTACCTACCTACCTGCCTGCCTGCCTGCATGCATGCATGCATACATACACACACACACATACTTTGCACACGTACACATTACATGAATACATGCCTTTCTGTGCAGTTAGGTGTGGAGGAAAACGCATTGTCATCTAGTACGGTGTGCGTATTGACGCATACGAGATCGTGGGGCGTTTATGTGAGGTTTAGGGTCGAGAGTTCAACGGGTTTGGGCCAGTTGCGTAGAAGTACCTTACACTTACGCCGCCGGCACCCACAGGGCAGGATGTCGCATGGCCCAAACATGTACAAAAAATGCGAAGGAATGTCTCATGTGCGGAAAAGTGCCGGCCAAAGCATTTATGATCTCACAGTTTACTCAGTGATCACGTTGCTTACAAAATTTCAGAATGTTTTACATCTTGTTCATTTTGTTGCATCTGTTCTGGGGAAAGCGGGTTTTCGCAGGCGCCCAGGCTAGTTATCGCATTCCTTCCACATTTTCTCTTGTTTTCGACGTTTTCATGTTCTCTTTGTTTCGACGTTTTCATCCATCGCTTTGACGTGTTGCATGTTGTGCATAAGAGCTTCGGTTCTAATTGTGCGTTTTCTTTCTACATTTCGGGACAGCCTTGGTTTCCCAGCCTTACAGGGCGCCGGCTGAGTAACCTGAATTTGCCAGTCCTGAGCCGTAAATTCTTATGCCGAGCCCAGCACACGAAGCTTTGGCAATTTTTTAAGCCCTAATTTCAACCCCAGACTTTATACTGTGGACACCACACTCCCAAACCCTAAACCCTAGAGCCCTCTGCCTCTCACCCCAAACTTGTCTCCAAGCCCATCAACTCCACTCCCTCAGCCTTGAACTGTAAGCCCTGAAGGCCCTGTGCGACGGGGACCCAGAGACCCGCCAAGCGGCAGTGGCTGCCATCGCAAAAGCAGATCCAGACCGTGTGGTCAGCGACTGCTCAGGAGAAGTTGGGTCGAGGGCTAATAGAGGGGCCTCAATTAAGAAGAATTTTGCGGTACACTCCCCATGATAGTGTTGGTAATTACTTAGGCCTCTCAAGTAGGCTCTATAGGGCTTTGGGTTGGGGTGTAGGGTTGAGTGTTTAGAGCTTAGGTTTGGGAGTGTAGGGTTTCGGGTCCTAGAGCCAACAAAGTCAGAATATGTCCATCCTTAACCATGTCCCTCTCTTTCTCGCTCGCTCTCTCTCTCTCTCTCTCTCTCTCTCTCTCTCTCTCTCTCTCGTGTATATATACATACATCCGTATGACACGAAATAAACTTGCATAGTACAATAACAATAACAACACAGGATGTTATAACATGACATAATATATTAAAACATAATACAATGTAATATAATATGGTATAATTATATGTAGTATATTGTGACACGATATAAAATACTACACTATAACAGAAGTTAATGTCAGAAAATTTAGTGTGGTCGAATACAATATAATACAATATAATGCGACAAAGTAACAGTATGATCTAGCTTAATGCCATATAGCATAGCATAATATAGTTTAATATAGCATATTATAATATAATATATTACAATACAGTTTTTTCTAGCATGGCATAATATAGCATGATAGAATACATACATACATACGTACATACATACATACATACATACATACTTACATGCATGCATGCATACATACTCCCCAATAGAAGGATCCTTATTGTCAGGACTTTCCACAAGGCCCCCTATTTTACTTGTACGAAGCTCCCAATGTAGTGGCCGGGAGAGTCCAGGAGAGCTGGTGAAGTTGCTCTCGCACCAGCATGCAGGGGCCAGGTCCCCAGAAAGCTTGATTAGGGGGCTTTGTTGGGTCTTATGCGGGTCTTGTAAGGGGTTTACCAGGTTGTGTAATTTTTTTTCTGGAATCTACGGCTTGTAGGCGAAACCCTAAACCTGAGAGCCACGACCCCCGAGTCACCTGAACTTCACGCCCTGGGACCTAAACCCCAGTTCCACTAGAATAATAAGTTCCTACCCAGGCTCAAGCTAGCACCATCTCCCAGCGACGAGCCTGTGAAGTGGTGGGCCTATCTATGCTACCAAAGAGCAGGAAATCTTGGCGTTGGATCGCCGTGTTCGGAAAATGGTGGAAGCCGCCATCGTCGGCGGGTCGGAGTTGATGGTCAAGGCCACGCCGTTACAGCTACTCCTCCCGCAAGGTACAGGTGGCAATCTGTCGGAAGAAGCCCTCCACATGCTTGACTCGACCACGTCCCAGCTTTGGGTCCACGTCGTGGAAAATCCAGACGACTTGTTGTCCGTCTACTACGTACTCTGGGCTTCTGTTCAAGGCTTACGATAGGAGTTGGCTAGAAGGTTTTGGCTTGCTACAAGGGTTCTAAGCGGGTTCTGCCGGGCCGCAAATTTATCTCCAAATCGGAATAGTTTAAGCCCCAAGCCTTATCTTAAGGGAAGTTGCATTGGTTTTTCCCAGGGTTTGGGGTTACTTATTCGAGGGATAGCTCGCCCGCTATCCAGCGGCCTTTGCCATGCCGCGCAGCCCTGTCGGCTGGGACGTTCGGCTGGTCCAGCAGGACCACAGAACCTCAGGTCCGCAGGCGTCCGGTTCGCTTGTTGCGGCCGACAGCCTGAAGCGGGGCCGGCCTCAGTTTAGAGGTGTAGGGCTTAGGCCAAGGCTTATGTAGCCAGAAGCGGGGCCATGAAATTCCACACCCAGACCCGGTTGAAGTATCTCGAAGGATCTGAAAGCCGAGGTCGGGTCCACAAATCCTTAAAGCACACCCCAAACCCTGCACCCCAAGCTCCGACCTGAAAAATCCTAAACCCCAAGCGCGAAACCCCAAAGTTCCACACCCAAAAGTTTGTAGACACTTATAACTTTCTTATATAAGCCCCATTACCCTCATAGATCATAAGCGCCCTTGAAAACCCGGTGACTGTCCTCGCCCTGCACATGTCGAGGTCCGAGCCTGCACGGCACTGGTCTTTCGCAACCTCAAGGAGAAGGCGAGTGTGATTTGGGCAAGCAGGTTCTGCAGGCTTTGTACTGGTGTTTATTGAGCCCTTCTCTACAAACCCGCAAGTATGCACTACGGCTCGAATCGTAAACCCTTTTAGGGTTCAGGGTTTTCGGCCTGCGCTTGAGAAACCCCAAAACCCTTGCCACCAAACCACTGACTCGTCGACAGCAGCCAAAATCGGGTTCGTTGAGGGTTCCGAGTTCAGGGTTCAAGATGTCAGGGCTTGGGGTTTGGACCAGCCGCCAGGCCGGAAGCGGAAACTTTTCCTACCCTGAACCCCAAAGCTTAAACCTTAAAGCCTGAAGTCCCAAACTATTACCCGGACCACATAGGAGGAAAAACCTATGGTTTAGGTCGCGAAATCCTGACACCTGCGGGAGGGACTCTTCGGTGCTTCAGAAGTGGCGAAGCTTCTGGAGGACACAGCGGAGGCTCGTGGGTGCTGCCACCAGAGTTCACGGCATGGCGTCTTGATGCTAGTACTTGTGTTGTCATTGCTACGATCATTATTGCTGTGTGGACCGTTCGTGCCATCCTTGGTGCATTATCATCGTCATCATCATCATCGTCATCCTCATCATCATCATCATGACCATTATCGTCATCATCATCATGCTGCTTTTTAGCACCAGGTATGAGAACTTGTTTTGGGGTTCCGCGTTACGATTCCGGGGCTTCGCCGGAGGGTTCTCTTTAGCGTTATCGCTTTGATTTTTCTGGGGCCAAGTTAGGTTCCTCTATATTTTACTAAAACAGACTGCGCATGGAAGTATCAGGAGAGGTGTATTCCCAGGGTCGAGTTGATTGATGGTACAGAGAAATTCTCGAGAGTGAAGACCCTGAGCCCCAACCCAACACCCAAAACCCTAAGTTTTGAGGCCTTACCGCGGAAGGGGGCTTACTAGGAGTGTCAGGTTTCTCGCGCGGGTCCCTAAACCCAACTGAGTTTCGCAGGACCTATCTTGGCTGCCTCTACACATGGGTGGCGAGCTCAGGTCCTCTTGGCATCTGCATTCGTACGAAAGAGGCAAGCGCCCCAAGAAGTAAGAACCCAGGTGGGGGTGCAGAAGGAACGGGCCTTAAGCTTTTGAGACTAGGTTTTTGGGTATATTGTCACAGAATTCCATTTCTATATAGACATATATATATATATATTTATATTTATACATACATACATACATACATACAGAGGCTATCAGGAGCTACTATTGCAAAATGTTCAGGCCACTATATGCAAGCCCCATGGCCCAAAATTCACACTGAACCCTTAGTAGGCCGCCCCCAGATGGCACTTTACCCCCCAGGCTTTGACCCTCAACCCTAAACCGTGCATGATGCAGGTTGCGGGTTTAGGCTTTTTACTGTATGCGGGGTTAAGGATTTAGAGCGTAGGGCCTAAACCCTAAACCCTGAACCGAAACCCTAAAACCTTAGACTTTGAACCCTAAACCCAAAACCCTAAAGCCCTAAACCTTGCACCCTAAACCCTGATCTCTTCACCTTGATACGTTTGATGAATAGACCATAATTCCCATAGCTTAGGGTCCTTAAGGCAATGCAGGATTTATATCATCAGCCGTAGTGCCCCTTATGGTGCCTCGTCTGAGGCGGTGTTCGCACACGAGAGCCTTCCGAGAGGAGGTCGCGGTTTTGCGAGTTTTCGGTGCTCTTCCTTAAGGACATCTTGGGGTTCAGGGTTTAGGGTTCAGGGTGTGTGTAGATAGTGTGCGCGCGGTGGGTGCGCTTTT